GGACAAAATCCTTGGACAGGAACATTAAACCCGTATGCGAAGTGTCTCAAAAGTACATCGGTGTGTGGTCTTTGAGTTCTATCTCACCCTCACTGGCGTTCTCTGCCCCTATCAGCTGCCATGTTTTGCCATGGTGATAACTCACAATGATCCTGAGTGCGGGTCTTCAAAGAGGCTACCAAGGTTTTGGCCAGAGATGTTTGAGAGAAAACTCAAAAGAATAGAAATGCGATGAGGCTGTCATAAAGGCCCCGATAAGCATCTGGAGGTAAACTACAGGTGTGAGCAGAGTGAAGGTAGCGAGGGTGAGGAAGTGGGGAGGTGAGGGAGGGTGGGGTTTAACTAGACAGGTGGATGAGGGACAACCCCTACTTCTGTTGTTATTCAGCCACATCAAGTACAGAAATGACAATAAACAAAAGCTAAACAAAAAATACGGACACCTGCCACAATATTAGCAACACATGTCCATGTGTCTCATGTGAGCCAATCCATGAGATGTATGGCTTTTCTCTGTCAATCTTCTCCCGACCATCTGCAAAAATTGCTCACCACTGTCTGCCACAAGATGGCCAACGCTTCGTTACACTTCCTCTGATGGCCGATGCCTGCTTTCCATCTCGGGCATGGTGTCCACAGGATGGAATGATCAAATCCATCGCTCTCAACAATTTCTCAGCGGATTCATGTCAATAGCCCACTGGATTAGCATGCAAGACGCTACTTGCGGCTCCTGATTTTGACCAAAAGGCCATTGCCCTTACATTCCATTTAATTCTGATTTCGAATGCAAAGTTCATCGGAGTACTGTTTTTATCAGCTCTGGCATATACGATGCATTCTTGCTTTAGATTTTTCGGGGGTTTAGTTCATCTTTAAGGTACTGTAATGCCCTTGATGTGGCCAAGGACAGCGCAGTCACAGATTCACCTTCAACTGTTTATTAAAAGGGGCACACAGTCAAACACAGTAAAAAATGAGAACACTCACAAGGGTCTACTGTCGATTACAACTTGCACACAGACTCTCACACGTTGACTAACCGGCCAATCCGACTTTAGGTTACTCTGCCACGCCCCTTAATGGAGCATATCCAACATACAATACCATCGTACGTACGGTAAGTAGGCTTTATGAAACAGTTTGATTGCTGACATTGAGATTTCTTCCGTTTTATTATGTTTTTATACACTACGGTGCCATCTTTATTACCGCATTTCAAAAATCTGCATGGCAGGTTAATGGTACACTCAAAATTGTCCCTGGGTGTGATTGTGAGCACGAATAGTTATTCATCTATGTGTGCCCTGCGATTGGCTGGCAGCTAGTTCAGGGTGTCCCCCGCCTACTGCCCGAAGTCAGCTGGGATTGGCTCCAGCACGCCCGCAACACTCATGAGGATAAGCGGAACAGATAATGGATAGATGGATAGATTTAATATATGATTAAATGGAGTGAAAAGCCTAGTCACTCGAGTGAATTCCACTCACAGAGGAGGAAAAGTCTTTAAGTCAAGGTACCATTGCACGCCAAGACTACAGTCATGAATTGGTAAAGAGCTAAGGAATGGTGAATTTGTGATTCGTGAAGCACCAATAGAGTGGAGTTCAATGTACTCTTGTTACATTAATGAATACAATAGTTATTGTTTGGTTCAAGTAAATTGGGCAACTGACAATGTTATTATTTTAACTTTTTTTTTTTTTGTATGGTGTTTTGCCAATTTGCATGTCATGAATATACCAATAGAAGCATTCGGGGCCAACATGTTTCAATTTTTTTTTTCTTTTACAGAATCTGGCCACCTGTAGCATCAATAGCCACAGGCACGCAGCTGTATGCAGAAAGACATCAAAGTGTTTTTAAGGTCGCACGCAAGCAGGAGTTACTCCGCGCCGCTTAATGAATGACTTGTTGCTGTACAAATGCAAATGTCATCGACCCGCTTGTGAGTCAGAAGGCCAAGAATAGCATCCTGTGAGGCCTGCACTATGTCAAATCGGCGCACATGTTGCGTGAGTAGCTTTGCGCTCTCAGCAGGTAAAAATGTGCTGGGCCGCGTTCCGGTTCAGTTACAGCTGATGAGAGAGCAGAAAGTGCTGTACACGGATGCTCTTAAAGGCCCCATTGTAATTGATGAAATGTAGCCTTTTATCTCAATTGCTTGTCTTATAGCTGAAAAGTCTGAAGAACATAAAAACCACAGAATAGTTCGATAATACTACTCTATACTATATTTACTATAATAATACTTACTGATGAATCCTTCTGGCTTAAATGATTATAAGCAAATGTATCTAAATTGTCTCACGAAAACATTAGATGTAGGTTGTATAAATACACTAATTCTAAGACATTGGTGAGGGTTTTTGAGGATACCTGTGTTTACTTCTATTAAGAATTCTATTGACAGATCATTTTGCTTAAATTAAATAATACATGCCCCATTTCATGAAGTTTTTCTTCTTCACTTTTTAGCATCTCATAATTGAGAAGTGGCTGTATGGTGCACCTTGAGTCTGGAAAACTATTATTTCTATTTCCGTCATATCAATAACCCCAAAAAAAAAAAAACTGTCCCCCGGTGCATAGCTTATGACCTGAGGTTTCACAGTTTGACTTCACTGTAAGATGAGGTAAGGCTGCACTCACTCATTCATCATGTAGAGAGTCATGAGTGGTGACACAACACCTGCTTGACTCTGATTTTGTGGAGACACTCAAGATTTAAGTGGCCCCCACAGTTCTCCACATGCTTAGGGTGGTGTCAGTAGGTTACAGCCCCCCCACCTCTCCTACCCCACCCTCCCGACTCCCCATCAAAAGCGAGGCAGCAGCTGCTGAGAAGCGAGCGATGCCTTCGAGGATGAGCCCACTTGCGTTTGACTCCTCTGCGGGAGCGTTCAATTTCCATTGTGACAGATTTACGAGCCTCCTTACATTGCCATGCTTTGTCAGGGAGAGCTGCAGCACAATTTCAATGTTGTTGCCCCCCACCCCTGAACCCCACCTCTTCAAAAACTGCTTGTTTTGCTTGTTGTGGTTTGTTAATGATGCCCTTTTCTCCTTGTAACATTCCAATTACATCTGCCTTGCCGAAGGCACCGCTGAACATCATGTACATTGGTGAGCAATAACATTTAAAAGCTGGCAACATATCTCGTCTTGTTTAGTTTATCACCCTCAAAAGAGTCTGCACGCTCCTGAGGAATTCTGGGCAAAATGACCAGCTTTTGGAACAAGACGGCGCAGATCGTTATCACCTTGTTACCTGTGCGAAATTATGTAAGCTGAGGGGGACAAGTGGCGGTGGGGGCATACATGTCAGCGGGTTTAGTGTGTTTACCCGTGCTGGGTTTTCCATGTAGTCACAGCCCCTAAAGTCTAGGCTGTACCAACGGGTCTGGACCTGTACTCGTCATTCCGAATCCGACTTCCAGTAATCCTCGCTGTTCTGAGGCAGCGAGGTGGGGCCCCATTAGGAATGAGGTGCACACAGATAAAAATGTTGCCCTGGCATGTGTCCAAAGACTTGGTGCCAAGAATTGCGTTGTGCATCCCGGAATGTTCGTGTTAGCTTGGTTATATTATATGGTGGTCGGTCGGTCAGGACCAGCAAGGACTTCTCTGCGGGGACTATTTATTTATTTAGTTGTTGATGTCAGTATTTTTCCTTTCTTTGCTTGGTCAGCACAAAACCTGTCCCAGCCAACACCAAAACACATATTTAGCGATGAATAGACTGATGTATTGAATTTAATTTTGTTTTTGTCATGTTATTTGGTGGGGGCATACATGTCAGCGGGTTTAGTGTGTTTACCCGTGCTGGGTTTTCCATGTAGTCACAGCCCCTAAAGTCTAGGCTGTACCAACGGGTCTGGACCTGTACTCGTCATTCCGAATCCGACTTCCAGTAATCCTCGCTGTTCTGAGGCAGCGAGGTGGGGCCCCATTAGGAATGAGGTGCACACAGATAAAAATGTTGCCCTGGCATGTGTCCAAAGACTTGGTGCCAGGAATTGCGTTGTGCATCCCGGAATGTTAGTGTTAGCTTGGTTATATGCACTGGTGGTCGGTCAGGACCAGCAAGGCCTTCTCTGCGGGGACTATTTATTTATTTAGTTGTTGATGTCAGTATTTTTCCTTTCTTTGCTTGGTCAGCACAAAACCTGTCCCAGCCAACACCAAAACACATATTTAGCGATGAATAGACTGATGTATTGAATTTAATTTTGTTTTTGTCATGTTATTTGATCAGCGCTGATTCTGAACTGCTCCACATAATTCCTGTAGCACAATTGTGTGCTGTTACAGTATATTCAATTATTCTATGGTATTGATGGTTTCTATAGTTGCGACATGATAGTGGTGGTATGATGAAGCTCATTACATGGAGGTGGGCAATTCACCACTGAGGTTCTGAGAACCAAATCCATACTGAATCAGTGTCAGGCACCTAGCTCAACAATTACACACGTACACGTGTGACATCAGAGTTTCTTTTATTTTTTTATTTACAAAATCCAAATATTGTTTTTGCTTCCTTTGTAAAACACATGACGCTGCAGGAAGTGAATACCGTAAAGTAATTCACCCAATTGTTTGTTGTTGTTTTTTTTTTTGGGGGGGGGGTCGTTTTTACGTGGAACTTGCTGAAACTCCCAGATTCATGTTTTTTGTGCTCTTTCTGTAGCGCCCTAAAATGCCCTAAAAGAGTAATTAGTATCAAAGGAAAGAAGTTGAAGCGATGCATCGCATCAGTTCTCAGACATTTTTATGCTGGGGAGAAGCTTAAAAAAAAAAAAGAAGTCCTCTTTAACCCATTTTATTTTCAATGAAATGATATTAGAGTGTTTTGGGATCATAGGTTGTGATGTATTTACAGTTTAAACTCCTTATACACAATTATAAGCATTTACAATTGTTGTGAAGCGAGGGTTGACTATAGTGCAAAAAAAAAAAAAAGTCTCAAGATGAAGAAACCAGAAATAGAAACTGGCGATGGTGGCAAATAAGTCTATTTTTGACAGCATGAAAAAAAGCTTCAGTTCGCTGAGCTGACATTCATTCATGAAAACATAAAAACACGTTAAACACTTGACATGGGTTGAAAAAACAAAGTAAAGCTCTCAGTGGGAGGGAGTTTCCGCGGAGCGAAGCATCCCTCGTGTGCTCGCCTGTCGTCCTTTGCAAACACACCTGCTGCAATGTCCCTCAAAACAACAGCAGCTGTTTTCCATGCCTCCAGCTACATGACCTTGGTGGCAGACATGTATCGTCCAGTGGCCATCACTTGGGTCCTGATGTGACACTTGCACGTGTCTGTCCATCCCAAAATAAATTAATCCTTTTCAAAAATCGTGACTATAATGGAAACATTATATACACTATTATTAATGACATCAATGGAAGGTGAATCACAGTTTGATTCCAACATGGCGATGGGTGACTTCCTAGAGCTCCTGCTCGGATCTCCTTTTCACCATCGGTGTTCCCAAAGTGAGATTCTTCGTCATTTCCAAGCCTCGTCATCATTTAGCTACACTTGCAAGACTTGACAATCATATTGGAAAGCTGCTCCACCTAAAATCCAAAGAGAGCTATTTATTAATTACAGGGTATGGGTGCTCTCTCATGTTTGACAGTGAAATGTTACACGGGCTGACCTTGTGTTGCCTGCCGACGTAATATAGAATCGGAAGGGGCTCCAGCGCCTGCGGGACGCAGCACGGCTGGGCCGACGCTCCGGGGTTGTGGTGCTTGTACAGTGCCAGAATCTGAGGGCAAGGTGTTTAGAAGTTTATTTGTATTGCGCCATTCATGCATACACAAGTCTATTCAGGAGAGTAAATAATGGTTAAAAACGATTAGAGTCCTGACTGGAGGATGAAAGTGAGATGTACATTCTTTTCCCGGTGTAGACATAGTTAGCTAGTTAACCACACATGAAACTTTTTCAAGGAACATGCCCAGTCCACTTGCCTTGATTCACCTTTTATAATTTTCCATCGCCAGTTCCAGAACTTTTAGTCCCTAATTCATACCGTTTCTGGACTTGCAAGGATCCAATCAGATATGAACAGCGCTGCAGAATCAATCCTCTTGGTATCTCTGGAAAGTACTATCTTTCTATGGATAATCTTTTGACACTGATAAGTAACCCTGGAACGAAATGTATACAATAGTTTCTATGTAAGCACAAAATAGTCCTCAGAAAGTTTTGGTAGTAAAGTTTCTGCCGTTAAAATGGACTATATTTAGCCCACTAACAGTCCCCGATTGGGGTTAGTGATTTCTGATGGTTCATGAACTTTGTGTACCAGAGCTTGCAGTGCTGAGCACATCTAAGTGGCGCACTGCTGCATTCACCTCCCGTTTTCATGCAGTGAAGATAACCAGATTTTGATTCACAGACGTGGGAAAGCAAGACTTTATCCAATTGGACAGCTTCTGCCATTGCTCCCTACCTGAGAATATTTGTTTTCAGCATTCCAGATGTAGGTGCAGGAACCCATGCAGTAGTTGGCATGGTAACCGGTCGGTCGGTGGATCCACTTCCAGCCCAAGTCCTTCCTGAAGTCAATGTAGAGGCTCCTTACGCAGCAAGTCTCTGTCTGGCTGCATTGGAAACGTATGATTTACTTTACTGTACCCCCACTTTTTTTTATTACAGTATTTTAGACTTTTCTCATATTAGGTGCCTTGGTTCAAGAAAGGTTGGGAAACGTTGGTGTATTCTGGATTTTGACTCGATCCCTGTACATCATGGTACAATAAGGTTGACTTACGCAGTGCACGTGTCTCGGGTGTCTGTAGAGCGCCTTTTCCGCGAGCTAAGCTGGCCACTGGCACTTTGTGGGATGGACTTGGTCAGGATGAAGGGCGGCTGCTGGGTCTGCTCCTTTAGGATTCCGATGTCGCTCCGGTCGCTATCGATCCCAGAGATGGAAAAGCTGAAAGTGGCGTCGCCGCTCCTCTGGCTGCATTCGCAGAAGAGACGAAGTTCGAATCCCTGCTCGTTCTCTGCCAAGACAGACGTTCCAAATGTAAAAGTTTTAACCAGAGGTGTAAGTCACACGTGGACAAGTCATGAGTCTTTGCCTCAAGTCTTGACTTTCATGTTTGAAATTTCTGTGACAAAAATTAAGCAAGTCAACTGGAATCCCTACTAAGTTTCAAGCAAGTCAAGTAAAGTCCTTACTTGGGTGGAGCAAGTCCGAAGTCAAATCATTGAATCTTTCTCAGTCACAACATCAACTGAAGCAGGGGCATGGTGGCCATTGGGAAATTCAGGAATCTGTGTGAATTTCTCCAAACGGCTTGTGCATTTCCAGGCTGGTCCTGGCTACCACGGCCGCACCAGCCCTTCAGCGACTACATTTCAGCGTGTGATGGTCCCACGGACTATGTTTCGGTGCATGACGGCCCGTCAATGACAACTTTTCAGTGTATGATGACTGCACTTCATCAGCCCCCCGTATCCCCCAAACACCCTCCCCATCCCCATGAGCGATTAGTTTTTGGTGCGTAGTGGCCGCCATTGACGAATGGCTCTGGGCCATATTTTGGGCCCAGTACGTCCCTGAATTGATGTATACTCAACTCAACTCAACT